TTTAACTAACTAATGACTTAAAGGGAGGGAAAGGTTGTTGTGACCATTTGCATAAAACTCATTTTGGGAGAAGATGTAGGCAATACCATGTGATGATCAAAGTATTCTATCTAAAAGAAATAAAATTATTTTATTAAGCAAAGAAAAGCAAATTTCTCCCTTAAATCCAATATATTAAAATTCATTTTGAAATCCAACAAGCAAACAAATCATTTAAAAATTCAACATACATTCAAAATAGAAAAATCCAACATAATGCTTCAATTTTGAAATCCAGGGTTTTATAAAAATTCCTCATTTCTCTAAAATCCTACAAGCAAACAAAAGTTTGCAAGGTCGCCTTGCAACCTTCCCTCATTTCTCTGAAATACCATGTGAATATTGCAACCTAGCTTCTTCATGGGATTTTCCAACCCCGATTGATTTCTAATGGAAGTTATCAATTATTACCTTAATTGGAGTTCCTGGAAAGTGACTACATTTCATGACATAATCCTCCCTCTCTCATCCTTTCATCACATAATTGGTTTCAGTGTATAAAAAAAAAAACTCTCAAAGCAACCAAATGTCAATCACTCCATGCACATGTCTCCCCAACTGATTAGTGTAAGTTAATTGGGGACCACGAATCACAACCGCACCATAAACAAGAAAAATTCATAAAGTTCAAAAACATACTATAATAGTACATGACAAAAGTTACAAAGTATATAAAAAATTTCATAAAACATGTGAGAAGTTATAAAGCTCACAACAAACTCAACACACCACAAATAACATAAGACATATCATGTGACAATAGAAATGTTATGTTTGTGGGAATTGGATAAAACATATCATAAATTTTATAACCATGTCACAAGTTTTTTAAAACACCGCACAAGTCCAATGAATCTTATCAGAAGTTTGATAAAGCATACCACAAGTTCATTAAATGTGACAACAGAAATGTTATGTTTGTGGGAATTGGATAAAACATATCATAAATTTTATAACCATGTCACAAGTTTTTTAAAACACCGCACAAGTTCAATAAATCTTATCAGAAGTCTGATAAAGCATACCACAAGTTCATTAAAGCACAAAACAAGTTTCTTAACGTGAAATAAAAAAAAATCACACAGGATTTAGATCCCAACATATTTGGGATTGTTTGTTTTTCCCGAGGGTGGCGAGTGTAGGCAAGAATGAAGATGTTGGTGATGGACACCCGATGACTACAAAGATGATGGTGATATTAAGTCGGCTGCAACAGTGAACAAATTATTCTTGGTTTTTCGGTAGATCATGTTAAAATGATATGATCCAATTTACCCTCCTGTTGAAGCTCGAATTAAACGCCAAAGGATCAGTCAACGTTGGAAGGAAAAATGGAAGAATTTGGCTAAGTGTTTGGACCATTTTATGGTGCCTACTTTACGGGTTCGTTTCTTACATACTGGTTGATGGAATCACGGGAAAATGGTGTATAATTGAACTTCGAATGTTCCTTTATACGTTTGAAGCATTGTCCAAGCGATATCGATTGATTTGGGGTCGTTTTCAGGAGCTCCAAGTTGCTATGGTGAAACTGGCAGCATGGTTGATTTTGGCTAAGTCTGGGACAGGTTTGAGATACCAACTTTGGAGGCTTAGGAAATGCAGCTGGGGCATCAACGAAGGAAAGGGGGGGGTTGGAACTTGTTCTACAAGTTCAGGAGAGCAAACGACTGAAGCTGGTTTGGATCGACCCTCCCTAGAAAACCCCGATCGAGTGCTCCAAAGATGCTATGAAGGCTGATTTTGTTACTTGTGCAGGAAGGCAGCAGCTTGGGCAGGAAGTAACTGAAGTTTATTACCTTCTTAAGTTTGGATTGTGTTTCCTTGTTATGTTAGAATTAGAATTCGATTTCCTTGTTAGTTTAGAGTTGGAATTAAGTCGTTGTTGTCTATTTAAAAGGCTTGAAGGCCTCGTGTAGAAGAACATGAGTTTGATGAATAAAATTGATTCTTGTCTCCCAAGCTTGTGTGTTGGTTGATTTCCGGCTACGAGTTGCTTCGTATCGATTGAAAACGCATCAATCGTGGCCGAGCTTCACCTCAAAACCAATCGAGCCTTCTTCCACGTGAGGATTGCACCTTTGGGTCCGTTTTATTTCGTTTTAAGTTGTTAAAATTCGAGTCTCCTTGAAGGTAAGAGTGAGAGGCTTGCGTTGATTCCTCAACAAGCTAAACTGGGCTCGTATTATAAAAGGTGGACCAAATCATTCTAGAACGAGACTAAATTATAGGGTTAATATATTTGTATGGCCAGAACTTTGCACATAATAAACATTTTTGCCATTCTTCTCGATTTATAACATCATGGCTTGACCTATACATCAAAGTTACTAAATTTACCAAACTCGATGTTTGACCATTATCGGTGATGGTCAAACGCGTTGACTAACGGTCAACGCGCCACGTCATTGCCAAGCAACACCTTTCACATAAAAAATTATATATTTTCCACCTATAAAATGGATATTTTAAAAAAAATTGGTATTATGTGGAAAATTAATTAGAAATTACTGAAAATAAATGGTGAAATTTTATAAATTTTCAATGTTACAAAATATTTTTTCATTTTTTGATTCTTTGTTCATATTTTTGGAAAATTTGAAGATAAATATTATGTGGAAATTTAATTATGGGAAATTATATATTTTTATTTTCAATTAATGCTTTTTTATTTTCAGTTTTGATTTATTTTACAAAATTTTAAATTTATTTCTTTGATTTTTTTGTTGAGATGCTTTTTAAAATTTGAAAATAGGTATATTATTGAAATTTAATTTGAAATTAGTGAAAATAAATGGTGACATTTTTTAATTTTATTTTTTGTTTATATTTGTGAAAAATTCGAAAATGGGTATTTTGTAGAAGATTAATTTGAAATTAGTGAAATAAATGGTGGAATTTAAAAAACATTATTTAAAAAATTATGAGAGATATAGGGGGACCCAAAATTACTTTTTCCTTTATTTTTTATTTTTGTTCAAAATGAAAAAAGAAAAATGGTAATAGGTGGAAAATATATAAAAAAATTAAGTGAAAAGTGCTGACTTGGCAATGACGTGGGTGTTGATCGTTAGTCAACGCGTTTGACCGTCCAGGATAACGGTCAAACATCGAGTTTGTCCAATATCTTAACTTTGATGTATAGTTCGAGCCATGATGTTATAGATCGAAAAGATTGGATAGAATGTTTATTATGTGCAAAGTTCAGGCCATATAAATATATTAACCCTAAATTATATCCAAAATCAAGTACCAATATCAAATCGTTATTTCTTCAATTTGATCTTTATCAAACCGTGGATGATCCAATTCTGCTTGGACCACGACTAAACCTATTAGACCAACTAACCGACTATTCCAATAAACTTATTCTTATAGGATCAACACAAGAAAACTAAGTAAGAGTAACTACTAAAAGATAAAAAAAAAGGCAAAATACATTTCCATAGCTGTAACTATTTGCGTTGTGACAATAATAGCCACATTTTAAAAAATACACCGATATAGCCAATTTTTTCAAACTTGCATGACAATAATGACCATTTCCCCGCCGGAGTACCTCTCCCCTGCAATCATCATCATCTCGAGGAGGCCCAATTTCAAATCGACAGGCCCGACTCCCAGGTTAGAGAGGCGGTGGAGGGTTTTAGCGGTGAGTTTTTGTGGGTTTCACGGTGGTGGTCGGAACTGGGAGACAGAGGGAGGCAGAGAGATTACTAGTGTGGGAGGAAGACGATTTTTCATTTTTTTCTCGTTTATATATTTATTTTCCCCCCTTTAATTGCAATTAAATAAAAAAATCATCTAATGAGGTCATATAAATTAGCGGATCGTTGTTGTTTGGGCCGTCATAATTTTTATCCGCAAAACATGGGTAATCATTTAATGATTCGTTGAACATCCACATTGGCATTGCATTCTCAATTGCAAAATGACATGGCATAGGTGTTTGCAATTGCATAACCAATTGCATTGATGTGGTTACCAATTGCATATTTGCAAGCTTGCAACAAATACAATTCCATATGCAAGTCAAATGCAATTCCATATGCAAGTCTAAAACAAACAAGTCATTCACAACTAATTAAGGTTAATACATACTACTCTTTACACTAGTATTTGCAATATGTCTTATGCTAATTTGGAGCTCCACTTAGCTTCCTCCAAGTGGATATATGCTAAAAATGGCCCAAAAGCCTCAATTTGTCAAAAGCCTTAAGCCTCAACATGATCAAATTTATGTTAACATTGAAAACCAAGGATTGTGACTTGGGAGATTTGTTACAAGCTCCTGCTTGCTTCCTTTTTCCTTGAAAACTTTTCTAGCTTGTGTTCCTTTCCAACAAACTGCTTTCTTGTTCTATAAATCCCTCCTCTGTTTAGCTTTTTCATCTTGCTATGTTCTCAATAGCTTCTTTGTTTAAACAAAATCCACATCCTATCCAACCCATCAAATTACAAAAGCGAGTAAAACTCAATTCAACTCGAAACTCATCAGGCCGAGTTTTATCAAAGCCCACAACCGACCCAACCCGTTAATTACAAAAATGGATAATCATCGTGTCGGAACCAAAACTCGTCAATATCGTATTCAAACCCCATGTAATTAACCATGTCAATCATATAATTTTTTAGGTGTTAAACGGTGAGATGGAAAGCGAATGGATTTAACATTAAAAAAAAAATTAAAATTGAGCTACAATAACAAACACCAATGCACTACGTACGCAAATCGGTTTTCACAAGATTGGAAAAAAAGGGTCCTCAAACAACACTCTCCAACACAAAATGCAACTTTAAAAAGTGCATCTATATTAATATAAAACAAAAGGTAGGTTTCCGCCAGAACACCCATACATAGGGTTAGCAAAATGAAAGCTAATTAAGCAGTAATTAAAGCACACATTAATTAAAGCACACATATATATCCATAGTCACAGCTGCCACTAATCATGATTTTGTCAGAAGCGGCGGCGGCACCTCCCGACCGTCCAGTAGCACTGTCCCGCCGCCACGTCGTCTCTGCCGGAGCCGTCCCGCGGCGGATCGAACCGGATCGGCAGGAAGTCGCCGGAATCACAGGGGAAGACGGTGGGCTCGAAACGATCCAGCAGCTGGCGGAGGCCCTGCAGCTTGGCTCTGACGACCACCGCGAGCTTCCGGGATCGGCAGTGGGCCCACGGCCTGTTGCCGGCGGCGAGGCAGAAATTCCATGCCGCCGCTGGGGTGGTGAAGTTGACGAACGCGTAACCCTTGTTTGCCTTTGTCCTGTTTTAATTTTTTTTTTATTCAATTTGGCGAGTGAAAAAAAGTACTCATATATATATATATATATATATATATAATTTTATTTCAATTTGGAAGCCAATAAATTAATTGACGAGAAGCGCGTCAAAAGGAAAAATTACCGTACGTACCTAAAATCAAATGGGAGGTAGAGGAAATCATAACACGAACGCACATCAGCCCCGGCTTCAATATTTCCCGCCGCTCTCTGGTTTTGGAGGACACAATGGCCGTCCAGATAGTCGCTTAGCATCTTCCGGCTAATCACGGACCAAAAACATTAAAACAAGGTGGTGATTAATGATTAAGCTAGCCGAGACGTAAATTTTTTGGTGGACTAATTAATCATATATGCATGCATATGATTACCTGTATCGATTCGGAATATTCTTGATCATCACCGTTGTGTCGTTGAGTAGCGGCAGGCCGGCCGGCTGGAATTCTTCGGCCGCCGGATTCAGCATATTATATTTTGTTTTGTCTTTTTTTTTTTTTTTTTGGGTTAAGAGCGTAATGGAAATGGAGAGTAGGAAGGATACACACACATATTATATTTATAGTGAGAGGGGTGTCACGCCGTCTACTCTCCACCGGCTATAGCCAGTTTTTTTCTCTTCCCCGTCTACTATCCACCGGTTATAGCCAGTTCTTTTTCTTCTTCCCCGTTATTGTGTTATAAAAACAAGCTTTCTGGTGTTCTTTAAGGTTATGTGATATCTTTTGTCTTGATTTAGATTCATGTATAAGAAATGTATAAGTTTGGCAGAACTCTCAAAATCGAATGTGGTTGTATTAATTTTAAAATATCTTTTTACCGTGTATTCGTAGAAATAAGTGTATATTATCCATGACGTCGAACCGAAAAAATTTGAACAAGACTATACAGAATCTAAACACAAGAGTTTCGAACCGATGAAGAGCTATTCAGGGGTGTTAGTAAACCCGTAATTATTATTTGGCATATATCTTAATCATAGCGAAAGTACATTTTAATGTTATTAGGCAAATTATTTCCTTTGTTTCCCTCTTTATGCTATGATTAAGCTTTCTCATAAACAAGGTTGAAGGAAGTAGTGCAAGGCTTAGCATTTAGGTGCATGAGTGATTTATAGCATGAGTTATTTGTTTAAATGTGAACATTAGGGAATATAGACATATGGGAATGTGTACATTTAGATCAAACTTGTTTGTTTAGTAAGTTTCAGATGATAAGCCTTAGGCTTTTGTGTTATTATTGTAGTTATCAATTTTCCCTTCAACTTGTCCTTCTTCCCGCCTTCACAATTTTAAGCCCAAGCTACTACTATACTGTTCGAATTGAAATATCTCGGCAGCTAAAAAAAAACTACAATTAGAGATCTACAAAATCGAATAAATAATACATTCATTATTATAATCTCCAACTCATGATGCCAATTACTAAGAATTTGGCGAGTGAAGATGAGACATTAGAGAGAAAGTATATGGGTCTTGCGGGTAGTGGTGAAGAAAGGTATAATCCATATTTGATCACCAATAGACAAATTGCATTCTCTAGTTGAAGTTGAAGTTCCTTTGTACGGCGGAAAGAATACTAATTACCATGTTCGCACCACTAGAAGCAAGTATAAACTTTTGGAATTAAGACCAAAATAAAAAACCGTGGGTTCGTAACACATAACTGTGGGCTTCATACCCCCAGCGGCCCGGCCCAGGTAAACGAAGGCCCTTCAAACCAGACAATGGCAAAGGCCCTTCAAGCTGGGGTTTTTTTTGCATTGCAATGTTTGGAAACCAGCATCATATGAATCCCCACAACCTAAAAAGGGAAAATGATTCCCCTTCTTATTGTTCTTCAACAACGGGAGAGATTGGGACCTGGGATTCCTCCAAAAAGAATATGGCAAAACTGAGATTCTAGGATGGAAGAGATATCTTAGGGGTCGTTTGGAGAACAAGATTTGGATGATGAATTTATTGAATCCATAGATTTGGCAAAATATTATGTTTTTTTCTACTTTTTGTATCGTGGATTGTAGGTTTAGAGTTTTTAAATCTCTAAAATCTAGAGATATCAAATCTCTCCTAATTAGAGAGATTCTACATCTTGATTTTAGAGATTTTCTCTCTCTCTTACTCTATTTCTTCCTTTTTTTTATTTATCCCACTAAATATCCTTATTGATAAATTTTTCAATATTTTTTTGAGCCAATTTAATTATTTTGGTTAAGCATAAATATGTCATTTTATAAACAAATATAATTTCTTTTTTATTGTATGTTAACAATCGCAGTTATCAAACAATGAACATTTTCAAATATTTTTTCAACAATCCGGAGAGTTTAAATCTTTGGATTGTTTAGAATATAGAGATTTAAACTCTAATTATCCAAACGAGCCCTTAGTTTGAGATTGGGATTGATAAAAAAATGAGATCGACAGTGGCAAACAACGATGGACTTCTTGTTGATTTTGAGGTAATCTGTCATTGAAGAAATAACCTATATGAATAGGCTAAATCAAAGACAAGGTCAGAACGCAAAAGAAATTCAGATGGATTTCAGGCCATAACATGTCAGAAGGTGACATGAGCAACAAAAATGAAACAAGAACCCGAATCGAACCGATGACCTGGGTCACATAGGCTAGCATAGTACCCAATTAGTCCACCTTCGAGTATTTGATTTTGGTCAATTTACACATATTTTAAACTCTTAAGGTGGCTCCGACCCTGCAATTGAAGCCTCTCTCTGTCTATAAAAACGACCAGCATACAGTTCTCCAGTATCCCCTCATCCATTCATCACCCTACTGTCAAAAAAAAAAAAAAATCGATTCATCACCTCCGACAATGGCGGACGCCTTTGATCATGATTTGAATTTCTGCCCGTCCTGCGGCCGCTTTCCCTCGGCCGCGGACGAAGAACACATCGTCAGCCACCTGTCCGCCGTCCTCTCCCTGCTCCAAGATCGGCGGCGGTTTGATCCCGCAAGGCTCCCCCTCTCCCCCCAGGTTTGCCCGTACGGACGGACTTTTTTGTATTTTCTGCAGCTTTTTATTAATTAATTGCGGATGGGAGCTTGGTTGTGGTTGCAGGGTGGTGGTGGTTCTCCTAGCTCCACCAGGGGCCGGCCAACCCAAAGCCGGGTCAACCCGTTTCAAGGGAGCGGGTCCGGTTCGACCCGCGCCGGAGATCATCTCGGCCGCTCTGGCGTTTCCGTCCCTCTCCCGCCTCATCATTCCGCCGCCATGAAAAGAAAGCTCCGTGAGGAAGGTGGAAAAGCAGCACCAGCACCAGCGTTGAAGGAGAAACAGGACTAGGAGGAGAAGAAAATTAAAAGGAGTATTTCTTGGGTAAATGAAACTTTTCTTTTTTAAATACAATTTATTAGCCAAAATTTTGAAATTATTAACCAATATATTTGAATATTTTGGCTTATAATTTAAAAAATTTGGCTAATAAATTGTATTTACCCTTTTATTTAGATAAACTTGGGTCTATAATTAAATGTATAAGGACCGAGGCCGAAGACTTCTCCCTTAGTATCACTAGATCGTACCCCGGCCCGTTGGCCGGTTGCAATATGATCGATAATCGTAGATAACAAATGTTCCAAGTTTAAATTCTAGTGATATTCTCTTCTTTTATATTCGCGTCATGATTATATGTTAATGTCATGCGAATTAAAAAGTAATTCTATCAATTTTAAAAAATACCAATATAGTTGGTCATTAAGAAAGTGAAATTATTCAACTATTGAGAAAATAGAAAATGAGCATTCATCATACGTATTATTACTTTGTAATCATTGTCTTCTATATATGCAGATTCTGGTTGAAGTTAAAATTATAGGAGTCATGGAAGGAATATCAACTCATAATAAACTTAATGACACAGTATTATGGTATTCAAAAATGACTAATAATATTGTTTGTTAAGTTAATTTTTACCATAGGTCTCAAATGAAATGTGGGATTTGCAAATCCGTGAGCCCCACGGATTTGTGTCCCTTAGCAAACGATGGATTTGTGCCAACTCTTTGACGCTTGGGATTTGGGTGTCAAATCCCAAAAGCAAACAATACCTAAACTTAACCATATATGAAAAATAATTTTCACAACAAAGAATTCACCTCATTCTAGTCACAACTGTTGCTGGAGATCATTGATTATCTTCGAAAATCTTAATTCTGTTGGGATTTGTGGTGTTCTAACCGACGCATTCAAAGCATGATTCTAGTTAGAAGCGTTTCGGTGACCTAGAAGCGTAAAAGCATAAATTTTTAACTTCGAAAACGCTTTGACGACATTATTGCACAAAATGTAGTCAAAAAGTGTGATTATGTGTAGATTAGTTTTGATAACCTAAAAGCATAAGGTTTTAAGATTTAAAATGCTATTTTGACTACATTTTTTTAACCACTAAACCTGATGTGGAACTTAAATTACAATCTATTTTTTGTAAATACTCCATTTTTTCATTTAATAAGATATAAAGAGAGGATATATTATTCTTCCATTATTTTTAATAACTTTTCAGCATTAACTCTAAAAATCCAACCTTGGAGACAACAAACTCATGTGTAAGAAAAGAAAAGAAACAACAAAATCATATATAATTTGGTTGAAGAACCCGCAACTAAAGTTGAGTCCTAAATATTAAAAATGTTGTTTATTGATAATTGTTTTATTTCAAATGAATTATCAAATAGAAATATAATAATTAGTTGAGACGTGAAGAGTGATAATAGTATCTTACTTGTCAATTATTTAATTATTAAGAAATAACTTTTTTTTAGAGCAATAGTCACTTTTATAGGGGTTATGCGTAGGGATGGCAATGGGGCGGGTTTGAGGCGGGTTTGTCTAAACCATCCCCATCTTCAAATACTCAAACCCATACTCGCCTCATACCCATGCGGAGGAATGTTTCGCAAACCCATCCCCATACCCGTGGGTTTCGGCCTTCGGGTACCCATGGGTAATACCCATCCTCATACATCCAACATTATTATACCTAAAACTTACAAGAAAAGTTTTGATTATAACCATAAACAAACCTATAATATCATGAAGTCAACAAAACACTGTCATTTTCTAAATACGATTCAAAGAATATGATCCTAAAAACATCCATTAATACATGATATAAACTACAATATTTTTTAAATTATTATGCTCTAACTCTTGATACATTTACTAAGTAATAATTAACTAACATAATCTTGTTGACAAGGGGGAAAGTGAAAGAGTGGAAGGAGAATTGAGGGAAA